GAAAATGGTTACTGTGGGTTATCCTTAGGAGACAGGCATATACCATCGGGGGCTTTATTGTAGATCTTTTTTTAGATATGCAATGCCGTAGTCCATTATTTTGGTCTATCTCGTAGGCTTAAGCGCACAAAAACATGTTTTTTACTTTATACTATGTAAAGATACCAGAAACAGCCTACCGCAGAGACTACCGCAGCGAAACCCTAGTTGGACACATTTCATACACAGAGATGGTTCTTCTTGCCTCTACTCTCCATAGCGGCAACCCATCAAATGTCATTTTAGTCTATATGATTATAAATCATGCTATAGTAAAATAACAAAATGTACTATATAACATAATATATGTATCACTAAAAAATTTTTGACTAATAATAGTGACGACTCTAAATGATTACCATAATTGACGAATTTTACTGTAAAATATCATCGTAATCATTTTGAGGGGGTAGACGGGTCACCTGATAGAAAGTGACCATCGCCGCCCATGAACGTCTGTAACTCAGGAGTCGCAAACGCGTTGCCGGCCTTTTACGAAGAAGTACGCTCTTTTCTTGAAGTTTTGAAGGTCGTATCGGTCTGGAAATACCGCAGACGATAACCCGTTCCACAGATTGGTTGTACGTGAAAAAAAGGCAACAAGTTTCTCGAAAAGTGCACAGTAGTGGAGCGCCAACTATCCAGGTGATCAGTATGAAAATTTGGAACGCCCTGTGAAACGACACACTCTCCATGATATATGCGATAGAGAATGCAGAGTGAAGCCACATTTCTACGTAACGCCAAGGGATCGAGCTGATCAAAAATGTTTGGGCTATCGACGCTTCGAGTTGCTCTTCGTTGGATGCTGTCCAGAGGAAGAAACTGGTACTGAAGTGCCTCTGAATAGAGATGAGGACAGTATTCCATATGCTATCTTCGATACGACAAATGGTATCTTCTTTGCGGTGAATGCACAGACCTATGTCTTTTTTTTTGGGTTGAACTGGACTAGGTTTAGTCGGCCCCAATCCGAAACCTCCGCTAAGGAAGTTTCAATTTCAGACACAAGTTTGTTTCGACTCTCGATGACGTTTTCCCGAGAAATATTGGGGCGGCCAATGTAAAGGACATCTCCCGTGCTATCATCTGCATAGCAATGGATGCTACTAGTTGCAACATGTCATGGACGGGTCAGAGCGTTCACCTTTTTTAGGGATTGGGTGCACAAAAGCTAGCTTCCAGGAGTTCGAGACAACGCCTTGGGAGTAGGAGATTCGAAAAAGGCGCGTTAAAACTGAAGCACACATCTTTAACACGATAGGAGCGATTCCATCGGGCCCACACTTATGAATGTCGAGGGAAAAGAGTTCTTTACGCTCTGATTTTTGTGTAAACTGGATACCCGGCATATAGCTCTGGCACCGCAGTATAGTCGGCGCTAAGTTTCCCCCGTCATCCAAAGTCGAGTTTGATGCAAAAAGTTCCCTAGAAGATCGGCTTTCTCCTTGGCATCATAGGCCAACGAATTATCTCCCCTCTGCAGGGGTGGACAGGATTGGCTTCGGAAATTACCCTGGACAGCCTTAGCAAAAGACCAGAATTCACGAGTTCCAGAAGGAAGTCTCACCAGTTTCTCACCGATCCGGCTGATGTGCTCCGATTTCGCCCTAGCAATGGCTCTTTTAAGGGACCTAGTGGCAAAGTATATTTCTTCCTTTTTTCAGATTTAATTTAGGATTGACACAATGTGTCAGCAAATTGCTTTGCTATCGCAAAGGGTTTTGGTGGGTATTTTTTATTGCCGGCCACCTGCCTTCAATCCTCCTCGGTAATGTAAGTAATCGTTTCAGATAGGAAAAAGGAATCGGCGTACAGAGACACTGACTCCCCGATACACCAATTTCCCTTCTTCATGTGTCCCATCTAAAAACGAATACATATCCGGTTCCGTACAGTTTAAGGAATCCTCGAATACTTCGGTCAAATTGCGAGCAGGTAAGGCGACAACCTTGATGGTGACGGGCAAGAGAGCGAAGTGCAAATACCAAGAGGCCGGGGCCCGTTGCCCTGATCAGACCAAGTTTACTCTACTCTCGGCACTACGATCCAGGACTGCCCTACACACTGCTCTAGAGCGAAAGGCTCAGAATAGAGCTCAGAATTGAAAATAACTACGCAAGGAGAAGGAGAAGAGTATGAAGTTTTGCTGTCCCGTATGGTATGAGGAAGATAGAGATACCGCAAGTTTCGATGAGAACCGGGATTGGGACTACAGCAGCTGGAAGAGGACGAGCTTCAATGCCAATGTTCACCTGTGATTGAAAGGCAACTAGGGATATTAATTGACTATTGTGCTAGAAAATATATAAATTTGCATTTTTTTTGTTCTTGAGATAATTTTGACTAGTTTGCATACTTACATAACTTAAATGCTGACTGCTGCATAAACTTGAGTGTTGTACGTTTACCTTATAATTTTAACGTTCTATTTTTATTAATTGAAATTACAAAATTGCGTATAATATTTGAATAAACTATCTAAGTAAGTACCTAAATTATAATGACGATAGTTGAGTTAATTTCAGGAAATTGTCAGCTTGATGCTTAGATTAAATAAACTAGTTTATTGGTTTGGCTTGACGTGACTAGAGATGATAATATACATAATATGTATATCGCCCCAAGTCTACAATGTGATAAGATTATAACTAAATAGCTACATAAGTAATTGTAGGTAATCTTATCACATTTATTTGGAAGTTGGGACTATAAAATAACTAATAGCACTGTAGAAACAAATCGGATCCTACTTTACTATTATACCTCAGCTATGAATTATTCATTGCTTGATGTAGATAAATCGCTTAGTTTATGCGTAGAGTATGTATCACGCAGCCGATGACAGTGGAAAATACTGGCAGATGTGGCATTAGTGCTTCTCACTTTTTTTACAACCATGATTCATAGTGTGGGGTACACTACAGAAATACGAAAAACTTTATTCCGTCAGTCACAAATACGAATTTCAAAATATCGATTTTCATAATTACGAATGGTTCAAAATTCCGAATATAACAACTCCGATTCATCATTAATCCTAGTTTATAATTAAAAATTTCAATATTATAAACGTTTATAATAACTATACTCAAAATACCGAGCTTCAATAGAACGAATAACAAAAAGTCCCAATTAATGATAATTCGAAGCATCTAAAATTCACCAGTCACCAACAATAGAGCAGGGCCTCAATTCTGCTATTTTATGTTTACGCCAAGTCACTGTCATACCACTGACACGCTATTGAGATGCCATCGAGTGGCCATTGGCATCGGTATAAATATCGGTAGTTGAAAATATATTACGTTTTTTGAGGGAATGATTTATTTACAAAAATACAATACATTTACAAAAATAAAATTTTACAAAAAAATATTATTATTTTTTAATTTTGATTTTTTTAATAATTTATTTATTTCTTTTTTATAATTTTTATATTTTATTTCTTTAATATTTTTTTTTAATTTATTTATTTATTGTAATAATTTATAATAAAAAAAAAAAACATTTCCTCAAAAAACGTAATATATTTTCAACTACCGATATTTATACCGATGCCAATGGCCACTCGATGGGCAACTTAATAGCGTGTCAGAGGTATGACAGTGGCTTGGCGTGAACATAAAATAGCAGAATTGAGGCCCGGATCTGGCGCTTTAATCGCCACTGTTCTAATCTAACCCAAAGAATTCAATAACAATAGATGATACGCGACGCAGGTATTAAGAGAAGAAGAAAACAAATAAAACACAAAGTAGACGATATGTGAAACTGAATATTATACTAACTGAATTAGAATCGTAATTTTAGCAATTTATTGGAAGTATTGAAAATCAGAATATCGTTTTTCGGAACGAGAACCCATCATGCATTTGATTCTTAGAACGTATAAAAATCGGAAAACATACAAATTGCATTTACAACTTTCGGTAAAATGAATTTCGTGAATTTTAATATTAGACATTATATGGTATTATGAAATCCGGCCTTTTGAAAATCGCAACATCAAAATTAGGATTAAAATATTTCGGAGTATTTCGGTGTTTCCTACAGTGTGTGTGATTTTTTTTATATTAATAATAATTTTCGCATTGTTAAATAAAACTTGGGTTGAGTACTGCGCTCCTAGATAGGCTAATGAGCAGCCTGTGATAAGGAGTCACAGTGCCGGATGGTTTATCGGTTGATTTTGAAGTTTGATAATATCATTACTCGTATATTACAAATTATTTAACATACGAGTACAACCTTTTTGTTGTACTCTATTTATTTTTTATTCCGATTGAAAACGTGATCAACCAAGAAACAAACTCAAAATCATCTCAGGGCGCATTATGCAAGGAAACAAATGGCAATCGCTGTCGGAGACACATGGCGAGTTCTCATTTAATACTAATTTGTATTGACTCGATAATACTATGTATGAACTCTTTAGAAAACATGTATCACTTGATACAATAAATAAATTAATTCGATTCCACGTGTTTGATTTCACTTAGTAAATTTTGTTTCTTTTTCCTCATATGAGCCAATGTCTAATATCTTGTAATCAATCAGTGTTATTTATCTAAATTATATCAAAAATAACCTGTACATTAAGCTATAAAATATATTATATACTTAATCTAAAACTAAAACTCTTCATAGTCTAAGATTTGGCCGAATTTGCAGGTATCTATTCGTTTAAATAAAACTATCGTCATATGTAACTAAAGATTACTGAGATTATAGCAGTATTGCCTGGCAAAATATGGTAATTTTCTTCTATTACATGTATTGTAGTGATATAATTTGTTCATGAATTCGACGAAAAGATTGAACAAGCCTATTTTTTGTCATCTCTTCTATTATCATCATTTATCTGTCCAGAAAGGACAGATTTTGAATGAAGAATAGCGGTCGAAAAATAAAAAAGAAGTGATCAGATTTCTAAGTATAAAACAAAGAAAAATACTTACAGCACATCCTTAGAAAGGTTCAATCCGTATGCAGGTATTGGAGGATATGTGCGCATTGGCTCTTGCGAGGGTTCTACCTGCCATCGTAATAACAGTACCAAGGCCATTGTAATTACTGGTAAAAATAACTCTATCAGTGTCTGTAAACGATGTCTCCATTGCTGCAGAAAGTTTTTCCACATCAACAAACGAAACTTTATCCATGCACCTGCGCAGCACCCACCGCGCATCTCTGTCATTTTCTGGGTAAAGAAAATATATGTTATCATGTGGATAAATGAATTTTACATTAAATTTTTTTTACATTGCGTTATCAAAATATTGAGAACCATTTTTAGATATCGATATCATAAGTAACGATATCTTGTTATCGATTATGTAAACAAAAATTTAACAATACGCAAAGTTTTCAATCAGTGCAAACATTAACAACAATTCACTCGTATTATTTTACTATGGATCAGTAATTTTTTATGAAAATTTACAATTGCAATTTTCATTCCTAAATTTATTTCTAAGGGCTCTGTGTTTTTTAAGTGACTCGAAATTTTGAAAAGACTATTCAGTCATGATGGGTAATCATAATACGGTTACGAACCACGGCAGGTACAGATTAATAAAAACATTTATAAATTCGACTTACATTACGGTACATTACATAGAAAAGCACTAGGGCTTTTCTATGTAATGTACCTTATTAGTGCTTTTCTATGTAATGTACTTAATTACATAGAAAAGCACGATGGACCGACGACTTGAGGAAAATGGCTGACTGCGAATTGGGTTCTTATTTTTATTGAAGATTTATAGAAACTTGACTGCATATTAATATGGATAGCCTCAGTTATTATTTATTCAATACAAGTACACAAGTTACATATTATTATTGCAAGTTGGCCAGGAAGAGAGCGCAGAGACAACGCTCGGGCATAGACAATCATTTTTACTTATTTAAAACTCGACTACATTACAAAAATTTTCAGAAAAATAATGCGGACTGCCCATGACCAGTATGGTTGACTGTCATTCGACGAAGCCTTCGGTCAACAGTAGACGGCAACATGATGATAACGTACTTCATTATTTTAAACGCAACATCGGCTCGGAGTCTATATTCACTCAATTCGTCTTGTAGCAATTTTCAATTAATATTGTAAATAAATGATACACTAAATACGGACATCGACATTGGAGCTGATGCCCTGTAACTGTCAATGTCACGGTGGTAAAACATTCTAGCTTCACAGTTTATGTTTATCAATATTGCTTTTTAGCGATAAAGCCGCTATTTATACATGGTCATTAACTTGAAATACTATTTTATGCATAATGTTGTAAACTGGTGTACAATAAAGATTATTCTATTCTATTCTATCGTTTTCAACTTCTTTAATTGTTTTTGTTTAGTTCTTAACTTTTAAGTTGGGTCGTTATATAATAGGTCAGATCAATAGTCTTCGCGTTTTTCTGCCACTATAAAAAGTTACATTCATTCGAAAATCGTATGCGATCCTTTTTAAGTTTCCGTAGTAGGACTAGGAGGAAGCCTAATAGCTTCACCATGTGCTTCTGTCCGTCCGTGCCCTAACTTAGAAACTGTTAGTACTAGAAAGCTGTAGTTTTGCATGGGCTTTGGAGGTATAAAAAAAGTGAGCGGGAACTCCCACTAAGACCGAGATGACCTCCCACTAAGAAATGAAAGACCGTAATGGTGGCAGCTCTCTATGTGTGAATAAATTTGGGGTTTCCCAAATTTATGCCCTAAAAACACAGTCAATAAATAAAAATAGTTTTGTTGGTTCTAAATTTCACTGTTTCTACTGTTTAATATTCCAAAAGCTGAGTATTTTTTACTTCGAGAGGTTCTTTAAATTTCCTTAAATTTCGAGATGTGTTGAAACCAAATCGTTAAATATTTTCCGCTAAAAATTTAATGAGACTTATTTTGTGTTCTATTCCGGCGAAAGTATGCTAGGATTGTAAGTTTAAAAATCCATTTCATTGCCAACAAACTTTTCTAGATTTTTTGTGAGAATATATTTGTGTTGTTTTTCATTTTCACCATTACCTTTTCTAATTATTTGAATGCAATAATTTCTTCATACTCAAATTTTCTTAGAAAATCTAGTAAAAAGAATTTGAAATAAAATACCTAGTAGTAACTATTAAATGAATAACCTTAATAAATTGCTTTTAATAATAAACCAAAAATGTCCTATATTTCGGGTAATTTGCAAACGTGAAAGATGGCTTATAATGAATTCTTTTGTCCTAGCGTATGCAGATTGATTTCAATGTATAAAATCTGGAAATAAGAGATTGAATTAATAATTTAACTATGAAACGTGCTGCTTGGATTATTTATTGCGGTCACTATGGTTTTTACTGCATTTCAGAAACATGTTGTATATTTATATTTTTCGCCGTGTAATGCGTCTCGCTGTCTCCACGTTTGCGCGCGTAATGGCTGACTAATATGTATGTGTGCCTGCCGGCATGTACGTACAGCAAATTGGCCGACTATGAGTGACATCGTTTTTTTTTTAGCGAGAGTATGTCCGAGTTTTCTTGTGGTGGTTTTTTATTGGTGAATTTAAATTTGAATAATCAAATTTTGGAGACTTTATATTGGCTATACTTTAGTGAATATAATTAGGATAGTCTAGACTATTTTTATCATTATATCATACTAAATATTCTTTTGTGGTCTTGATACTTAAACTACATACAGATTTTCGTAATGTTAAACTCCTCCACACATTAGAACTAATGCTTGAACTAATCATGACAATAATGAGATTGGATACTTTAGATGGTGGTGAATCTGTGAAGAAGTTGGAGGCTTATTTGCCCGAGGTGTAATTCCTATCCGATCGGTGGTTAAAATCGGGCCCAAGAGATATTCTACTGTGTTTTCTATGGTATATGTTAAAGTAATTTAATTCTGACAAGAAAAAAGTAGCATAACAAGAAACTTCTCAAATATATACTTCTAAATATATTTAATACATCAAACAACCACAAAGTTTTAGGTTATAGATAACGTCAACTGTGAATTATCTGATAATGATTTTAAATTTGTAAAGCCCAGAAGCAGGAAAGTTAAAAAATAACTTAGATTACAAACTGTACTGCAGCGATAGCACGTAGATAGCAAGTGCGTACGTGCGTAAAGAGTTATTAGAGAAAAAAAAATACGTACATGAGATATGCAGTTGTGTTCCATGTGTATTGAGGGGATGACCGACTACTTTCGTAAGCAATAAACCTTTTACTTAAGCACCCGACTCTAAGGGCCTCGCCTGTGTCGTGGCGTAAGTCAGCGTAACGTTGGATTGAAGCCAGTGTTTCAGCTGATACCGACGAGCATAGAGGAGAGTAATATATCCGACGAGATAGCCCTATAGGCCCTCTTTAGGCAAGATAATAGTCGTCCATTCCCTAAGTACTTGAGAATAACCACATACCTATCATATCGTATCTTAAATTACTATGAATAGAAGTCACGAAAGTAGACATTTCAAATTCTAATTAAAAACTCTTACCACATCGTTGTTTAATAATACACCCCTTTATTTTTTATTTTTTTTCCGTGCGGAAATCCCCTCTTATACCACCTGTCGGTGGCATGTCGGACTCGAACCGACTAAAACCGCACGCCGTCTCGGGTACTAATAGCCGGGGAACCAGGTATACCCTAGAAAGGAAGTCCCTGGTGCCCCGACATACCTCGGGTCGTCTACAGACGAGCAGACGACCCCCCTCGTGTGGGAACCCCATGTTCCCTGTGCTCCCTGGAAGCGAGCGCGCTTCGCAACGCGCTCGCCGCCACCCCGGCCTGCTTCTGCTAGGGTGACAGATGGCCTCACCTGTCACCCCCAGGCCTGCGCTTATGGAGGACGGAGGTCGTTCTGCGACCTCAAAGGAGATCGTGCGGTACCCCCTTATGATCCTGATGGCCAGCACTCGCTGCGAATAATACACCCCTAATACGGCATTATAATGGCAGTTAATCATGCTTAAAAATAAATAAGTGATTACTTTTTGTTGTGTTAATGCACAAGTAATCACCTATTTGTTTTATAAGATAACACGCGTTACTATGATGAAGTATTTTAAAATGCGGTAAAAACGGTATTAGGGAGAAAATCGTCTAAAGCGTAATTGTAATGAGGATGATCGAATCCAGCGTATTTAACGGTACTTTGTAACGTATTAAATGTCATAACAAAAGGCAAACAACCTTTAAACGATTCTTTTGTGGATCCTTTGTAATCAACCATTATATGTATTGTAGGGATCTGATAAGTTTCTAAAAACTTTATAATAATAATAACCTCACACATCTCTCACGCGGCCGTCTGATCCCAAACTAAGCACAGCCTGTACTATGATAACCAGCGCGCTGTAGAGGGCCTATTCCCGTAACGGGCGGAGCACACACCCCCGTAGATGGCCTCCTTGGCCAGAGAAAACGGGGAGAACGTGGATAATGTTCCGCCCATCCGGGATTCGGAGGTAGGGGCGACTGTTCTACGGATCCGTTCCAAGACGACCGCCCCCGGGCCAGACACCCTCTAAGGCGCGCTCAGAGGATTTTGGCGGTTAGAGCCATACGCGGTTACCGCACCATTTTGACATAGGCGGCGTGCGCATTGGTCGGTTGAGTCCCGCCTGTCACCAATGCAGTTGCAGTGAGGACTCGGCTCAGCACACGCTGGCAATTTGACCGGCTTGGTCCTCATTGCAGTCATCAGGGGGATCTCTAGCTACCGGCCGTTATACCGGCTTCGTGGCCGGCAGTGACAGATGTTTCAACGTGGTAGCATCTTTCTGACGTCATCTCGTAGAAGGAGGCGGCGGAGAGGGCCCGGGAGGATGACCTCCACTCGGACCCAATTCGACGCCCGCGAACCGGGCGGCGTAGGCGCTCTTACCAGACCCTCATGCCACCCTGAGTGTGGCTGCGGGTGGACGGGACGGGTTTTCTCCTATATCCGCTATAGTGGCCAGCCACGAGGAGGCGATGTCCGCGTGTGCCGTGTAAATCGAGAGTTTACCCAAAGGTGGTGCCCGCGCTGTTGCGGGCAGGCGCTGGGTGGTGTCCGGATGTCTTAATATCAGCTGTTCCCGGACCCCTCCTATCTCAGGCGCGAAGGTGGTTTTAGTCGGTTCTATTCCCACACACCGCCCTGCCGCAAACCCCGGTGTTTCCAGGGGTTTCCACACGTTAAAAAAAATGGTAACTAGCGCGCTGATAAACATATTTTGCTAAATACATACGCATAGACGCAGAACAAATGACCGTGCTTATCAAACAATTATTTGTCCTGGGTGAGAATCGAACCCACGACCTCTAGCTTAGCAGTCAAGGTCACTAAACAGTAGACCAATATAAATATGTAATTTGTGATACGGACATAAAGGAGTTGTAAAGGGCTTTCATTATTAAAAAATTGCGGTAGCGATGTACCAAATATTTTTGGACAGTCTTCCTAAGAACCAATAACTCTTAAGATAACATCTTACTACAACGTTTTTACTTTAAATTATTTTAGGCATAATACGAACAAAACTATTATTACCGATTCCAGATAAAAAGAAATTGTTACATAACTAATTTCCAATTCCTAATTTAAGCTGCTTTAAGTCAGTGTAATTTGAGCCATAATGGATTTTACTCGGGATCAAATAGGGGACATCTTTAGTACGTAAAACATTTAATTTTCGCTTTCTCGCTTAAGACGTATTTTGGGTGACTCACTTTGAAACCTATAATAATAATCATTGGTATTTCGTTTTATAGCACTCCCATTATCTATTTTCACTAGAGCTCATCGAGTGCATGACGTCGTTCAATGTTTTTGTAGGGATCTGATAAGAGTCATAGTACTAGCGTAATGCAAATGATGGAATACGTAATATACATACATAATTATGTCGTCTTCAAACGTAATAAATAAAAATACACAGAAAAAATTTTTTTTGGCTTTCATTGACTAAGATAAATAAATAATGTAGCAGTTGCGTTTGAGTCAAACTTCCTACCAACTAATGCCACCATATCTGCATATTTTTGTAAATACTTTTTCTGAAGAAACATTGTTCTGCCAAGCACCATATATGTAATAGTTGCAATATGATATGAGAGAGTAAAACGTGTTCATTTTCATATTAAGTACACATTACTTTAAGTACTTACATTAAAAGTTTTTGGCATTTCTTCATACTTAACAAAAAAAATGTTTTTATAGATAAAAAGCATAATCCATTAATCAGTTATAATCATAACAACGATAACAAAGAAGCAAAAAACTTTTATCCAAACGTACACTTCTAATAAGCGTGAACTTGATTTCAAATGAGGTAAAAAGATAACAATTTGTTATTACTTTTCATAACACATTTTTGGTAATTTAAGAATGTTCTGTCTATGGATTACATTATTTATTTACGGGGCAAGAGGAAGGGGCAACCTTTCTTGTCTTTTCTTATAATAGAATGCGGGCGGATATGTGTAGTTGCGTCAAAAACAAAAACAGTTACCATTTTTAAATAATTTAAAATAGTAACTCGATAATTTCAAGTACTCATTTACATCTCTAAGCAAAAACGACCAATCATATCTATTCATTGAAAAAAAACCTAGGATTTTCATTTCAATCAATAGCAAGCCAAATATCTAAATTTTTCTTCTCTTAAAAACAAGGTTAATTTTATGTGATTTTTAGGCTCTTGTAAGAAGCCCTCAATGGACTTTACATATATAACATATTTGAGTTTTATCGGAGGATATATTTAGTGACGCCCTCTTGTTAGTCACTACCTCCAGACTTTATGACTTTACATAACAGTCAAACCGACTATCTAACATTCTAACCAATACAACTAATGATGTCGTCTCAGTTGCAGTATTTCGATAGTCGATAGTAAAATGGTTCGAGCCTCTCTATTTGTATTATATTATGATACATGTTCAAATCAACTCTTGACAAAATGCAAGACTTTCAGGTAAAGCATCAAGCAGTGGCAGAAACGAATCTCAAAGATTTTTACCCAAGTCCATTTCATTATCCGTTACTGCAGGATGTCGTTCTCGAAGAACGAAGAAAAACTTTCGCAATCAGTTATTTTATCACTACTGCGCATTCAAAAAAATATTTCTTTTTTATTAATTGTATTATCAGTCACCATCACGTTGACAATTCTTATCGAAATACGTAAATTAATTTTATGTAATTTATTGAGTGGTTACTTCAAATATGGTTTTTATATTATATGATGTCAAGGGCGAAACTGTCTTATCCTTGTGCATACACCACTTTGTTAATAGTTATGGGGCAAGCGTTGACTACCAGGTTTATCTGGGGTGAATTTGCGGTGCGGTGTGAAACCTGCCGTTCTAAAGTCTACCCTTGGAAATCGCCAAAGTCGGTTATCGAAACAAAGAATAATGGGTTCTTTCTTATGTCAGCCAATAATATTTCAAATTGGTCTCATGTAGTATGATATGAGATTCTTAAGTCCATAATATTAGTCTTATGTACTAATCTCGAGTGACTGCAATGATAGCGAAGTGGTTAAAGCGATCACCTCACCGCTTCCAACTGAGCTGAGTGTTGTGGCTTCGTCTCCACATGGGACAACACTTTGTGTAATCCACAAGTTGTTGTTCTAAGTCAGGGTATTTTATGTGTCCGTTTCATAAATGTTTGAAAAAGTCCCCCGCACACCTGTGCGGAAGTTGTCTGTTTATTAAAAAAAAAGTAAACATTTTGGCTAAGCTTTCGTCCGCGGTTTCACCCGTGTTATTGTCGATTTTAATATATTTTAATATTTTCGACGATAATGATTAAGATTATTATAATTAGTAAGATTGTACACCAAAAAACGCTAAGAACGCTTAGATAATGTATCAATGTATTACCCACATAGTCACATTTACATGTAGGTACGTACAAGTATACGTGTATATAATATATGGATACTAATAATTGCGAAAGTGTGTCTGTCTGTCTATCTGTATGTATGTCTGTCTGTTACCTTAAACGCTTAAACGCACGCTTAAACCGCTGAACCGATTTAGATGAAATTTGGTATAGCGATAGTATGAGTCCCGGGAAAGGACATAGGATAGTTTTTATCAAAGAAATTCTTTAGGGCGGTAAAAAGGAGGTTGGAAGTTGTATGGGGAATCAATAACCGCTGAATCTATTCAAATGAAATTTAAAGACGCCTGCAACTTAAAAGACATACATGCTCTGCCGGACTTTAAATGCCCAAACTCCAAACTTAAGGAGGGCTTTAAGCCTCTGGTAAACTCTCACAGTTAGAGGTTGAAAAGTAATTACAGAATTACTAAACATAGGTTTTCTGTGGGGCAGCAGTAGCACTCCGGTTGAGTTGGGTCATGTTATGTAGAATGTACTAGAACTAGAACTTTGTAGAATGTACTAGAATTTACATTTGCAAGTTTTCTAATAATCTTACAAGTTGCAATTTCTCATTTTTTAACGTATATGTATGTAACTTGGAGAAACTTTGGTGAACTAGGTTTTTTGAAGTGAAAGGAACTGTAGAGCTGTAACTATATATTATTCTATTGAGCAAGTGGTTTTTATATCATCATCATATTTACCTGCTCTTCTCTTAATTTTGTATGAAGAATGTGTGCACAAGTGTTATTCATATTTGTAAAACATTTTTCACACTAATATACAAATACTTTAAATCGATTTTTAAATATGCAGTAGTAGTATGTATTAATATACTCATATGTATTTTTGTGAACATCACCGCGTCGCGTCGTTACAATAATTTAACGTAATTATTTTCAAAGACTGTACCTACAAATAATAATTTGAATAAAAAAAAGACAAAAGAATATTTTATTCCTTATACTTCGTTTCCAAACAACCAGGCACATCAAAACATAGATGTAGGTACCTCGACGAAACTAGAGTCGGCACTCATAACACCTACTTTAGTTTAAAAAATAAAGATCAAACTAAAAATGCTATTTAAATAATGGACCTACACACAGTCAAAGTGCCACCTCACTACTTTTTGTAGTCCTTGTCATTATTCCTTTTATAAATGTTATTTGAAAAATTAATTAACAACAGAAACTAATAATCTAAATTAATATCTGGGATTTGAAGAGAGAAATATAATTTACAAAGAAATCGCATACCTGTTTATATTTTTTCCTAAAGACATAGGCAGCACAAAGTTTGTACACAACTTTAAAACTAGGCTATTGTTTTATGTTCACAGGTGAAAATGGAACTGGCAACTGACTCATAATATAGATATATTTGCCTGTTATCTACACAATAGATAACATCCTTGCGATAGTGATAATCAATAACGACTAGTTACTGAATTTATTGCGAATTGAAACCAAAAGCCCATGTTTTGATCATTGTAATTGTAATTAAAACTGTGCATAATATCATTTTTATATAGGCCGCCGCGATGATACCACAGTTCACGTTCTGGCGGTATGGCCTTAGTACTTGAACTTCTCAATGTGCTGACCTCGTGACAGTCATCGACGTTAGTATTTATATTTACAGGATATCAAGATGAATGAAAATCGACGCTTTAGAGCTATTTATCATTTTCACGGATTAGAAGACGACATAAATGCAATAAGTGAATATTAATGATGATTTAGTATATGATTTTCTTTTCGCTATTATTCAACAAGACAACATGAGGTCCTCCAAATACCCTGAAGTCTTTTCTGGAACTATTAATGCATTCGTACATGAGATTTGGAAAAGAGAGATTACAAAAGCCTTCGACTTAAAAAGGACACGAGTTAAAACCGAAACGTACTTTATGTATATTTCTGAGTTAGGGTTGAAGTAATTGAATAGGCGGTACTTCAAATGTAAACTTATAAAGCAAATGATAAAGACGCGACTAATATCACTGACAAAAAGTTAGAGATAAGAAAGATTTCTGACGTTCTAATAAAAAAGTAATTTTTTTTTCATTTATTTCTATTCGCAAATGCAGGATAAAATATTCTGGCTATCTTGCCGTATAACACTAGTATCGAAGCGTTTTGCTTTTTATCATTATTTATCAATTAAAGTTATTTCGAAAAGCTTTACTGAATATTTTTGACTTAACATATATTGTGTTAAGGCTGCTACCTCTACCTCAGAGTAGGCAGGCACTAGGGTTATAACTATTATTAAACCGTAATTCAAACGATGATACAGTTACTAAGTAACAACAACTTTTAAGTTTTGGTTACCTGCCGACTGATTTGTGTCAATCATGTACCAAGTAATGCCCCGTAACAAATGCTTAGGAGATGATTAAGAACTTGATTGCAAGTTTGATAAAACTCTGAGATTCTAAGTGCTAGTGGTAGAATTTTCTAGAAAAAAAAGGCTGCTATTAAGATACCGCATTTGTATTTGATACACATTGCACTTTGCGTCGAGAATTTTTTTTTTAGCAATTGTTCACTTTTGAAATGTAAACCTCCCTGTATTTTTTGAAAGAATATCTTTATATATTTCAGACCTGCTGATAAACATACTTACTAAATACATCTATATTTATAGATAAATTACACCCAGACACAGAACAAATGATCGTGCTCATTACACAATTATTTCTTCTGGATGGGAATCGAACCCACGGCCTCTAGCTTAGCAGTCAAGATCATTAACCACTAGACCAACAGTCCCGTCCAAGTACAGTTTAATAAGGAAAATGAAAATTAATGCTTTTCATATTTAGGTGTCTTGGGTGATCATGAGTTGGGTGTTTAATAATTTGATTAAAGCTTAGGAATAAGTAGGTACGTTAGTAGGTAAAGTCCTACATAATGCGGACTTTGGTCCCATTCACGTACCCGATAGAGACCTAATCTTATACCGACAATCAGGTGCTTCAAGAATATAAGATGGAACATTTGGGACTATTTTAAAAGATGGAAGGAAAGGCATATTCCTTACCGATATATTGAAGACTTAGCTAATAAATTAAAATATATAGTGTTATCAGTATAATAAAGTGGTTTATAGTGCCTCGATGGTGACAGTACACACAAGGTGACAGCCAACATGATGCGGCAGCAACTGTCGAGGTGACGTAGATGACATTAATGACGCCTACGACTCGCTACAGCGACTACGAAGGCAGTTGATCGTCGCATTAGTTTAATTGTTATTGAATTCATTCAGAACATGTGTGAAAACAACGTACAATAACAATAATGTAAACCAGAAATAGTCTGACGGTTAAATTCTCATAGTAATTGAATAAATTTTGAAGGTTTTGTTTACTTCAGTGATCTATGTAAACTTAACTGTCATTTTATAGATTGACATACAGGTCAACAATTTACTGGTAGTGCGTTGTAGCCGTGTTAATTTTTTTAAATTATTTTTTAAACATTTAATTTTCTTCACTTCTTTTACATATAAACTTTAAGTAGTCAACATCCCAAGTATCAGTATCAGATAAATATCAGTTTAATATGTTATGTATTATAAAAACTGAAGACATAGCATAGGTAATGGTGGAAGTAGTTACTTTATATCGTTCATCAATTTTATTACTATACCTACCTATAAATTTTTATTATGATATTAAATTTAATGCCTTCTAATACTTAAATATAGTGAATATATACGTTTACAGGATAGTTAATGATTTTAAAATGGGTTTCGTGCATTAATGTTGTAAATGGTGTCACGAAAATCGTCATTTCTGTAGTGTCTGTAACTTTAAATCTTTAATAAACTGAAAACTTTTAATAGTTTATCGCGGACACAATATTTAGTCAATAGTATTCATAAGTGTACGTCTATGGTGCGCGTGTCGTCGACACCCCACATAACTACTGCTAAGTAATAAGTTAATAATATTCGGCAATATCAGTAAAAAAACGTAATCTACAAAACCTCTATGAAAACAAAACTATTTTCGCATTACTAACAACTTTTCATTAACTTAGTTTAATATGAATGTGTAGAAATCACAATATCACCAAAGTTAAATAATATTTTCTTTACCCTATATAGTAAAGGAAGGTATATTTGTGATATGACCGTATGATTTTATTTGTGATATTATTGTAGCAATATATTATATTTGTATAGATGCCTCTATTGTAGTATACAGGTACCTTTATGAGAGAGCGCCAGCTAGATGCTCCTATGGGAACGGGTATTACATGCTTCAGTACCCATGTACTGAAGCATGTAATACCCTTTTCCCCCATATATGGTTCACCAAAAAGCAGGAACCATTTCCTGCTTTTAGTAAACAAACAATTTTGTTGATATCACCAAATTCATCACACTCAGAAATATCATCAACTTAGATCGATCCTTCTTTTGGTGAACCATATAGGGTATAGAAAATATTATTCAGCTTGACTGATTTTTTTATTCCTAGACACTCTGTATTAGACTAAGCCAATAAACACACTAAACAGGTAATACGAAAATATATTTGTTTGTTTCTATGTCTGTTTGTTTTACTACACATTGGACTACATACACACTACGACTACATATTGGGCTGGCCTGTTGATCTAGTGGTTAGTAACCCCAACTGCTTCTGCTGCTGTTGCAATCAGGGTTCGATTCCCACCCAGGATAAATAATTGACGAGCACGATCATTTGTTCTGTGTCTGTTTTTTAATTTATACATAATATGTTCATCAGCAGTCAGGATACAATAGCACAGGCTCTGTATAGTTTAGGATCAGACGGCTATGTGTGAGATGTGTGAAGTTATTATTATACTATATATATATTGTTATATATATTATATATATTTAATATTATATATATTATTATTAACTAATTTCGATGATGTTCTGTATGTTTTGTGTATTATTATAGATATTGCATTGTAATCTTAGATGCAACTGTCCCTTACCATGCCGTGGCAACTTGTAAGTAAGACAACACTCAGAAAATAATTGTAAAACATGTTTGTAAATTATGTATTAGTGTATGTTTTGTAAGTTGTCCTATATAAATAAATAAATTATTAATAAATTCTAAAATATAAAATATTTAAATATTTACAATCAAAAAATTCAGGCACTTACTTTAAGCAACATATTAAAGCACCTATGTATCATAGAAAACTGCGTTCCGAAACATGGGCTTTAAATTTACGAAATATTTAAGACACTTGAATTCCCTACAGTATTCACATGCGATAAATCGTTCACTCATTAGTTAACTATATTACTCTATAACATTTATGTTATATCATTGTAATATTATTAAATTCACTGAACACGACAACGCGACATCCTCATTCAACCAAACACTTGCACTAACTCGAGTCTGTCTCTCAGTTGAAAAATCGTATGAAGGAAGCATTAATAGGTACTTAAAACTAGGTGTAGTTTTTCTATTGGCCACTTAAATTTAAAATGGCTGACCGCATTATTTTCAATGGCATCTAAATATACAGAATTAGCTCCATTCATGTTATACCTACACCCTTACAGCACATATTATTTAGGTAGGAACACCTTGTAAAGTACTGTTTACCTACAATATCCGCGGACTTTAGTAGGACTTTATGTATATTAAAAATAGTAAATCCTACCCAGTCTTAAGCACAGAAATACTTTTTATTTTAATTAAAGCAAAAAATCTTAAAACTTCCGTTTTCTGCGTCCTTTACAAAATTATCAGTTTACTAAATATCGTAATATTTAAAGAGTATTTTTAGCCGAAAAAAGAATATAATATATATTATATCATTTATTTGTTTTATTATAACGAGCTTACTGATCACAAGGCTATTTACACTAATTAGTGAATCTCTTTAAACACACATATTCGTCACTAACATAAGTATTAATTATGTACTCTTAAATAGTAGTTGGTTTGTTAAAAAAACCGGTCAACAACAACGGGAACTCGTGCGCCGAGGGTTCCGTACCTACCCAGATTTTACGTAGATTTTCACGAAAATTTGTAAGTACCAAATTTATCTTAATTTTCAACTTTTTTATTTTTTGGAATTATTTCTTTTTTTGTGGTATAAGACGTTTCTTTTTGCCAAATTTCGTGATGCTAGGTCAACGGGAACTACCATATAGGTTTTCGACCCAAAACCTATAGGGTACTTCCGGTGGACCTAGAATTGTCAATTTGGGTTAAAAGCAAGGTCTTACAGCACAAGTAAAGAGAAAATTCTGAAAAATAAAAAAAGTTGAAATTTAAGGTAAATTTTGGTACTTACAAGTTTCGCGAAAATCGAAATTTGCCCATATCTTTTTATCGTGTTGACTCAGGACCTTGATTTTTTATACACCTAATAGGGCCCATAGAACTCAGTATCTGGTATAAATTTCAACTTGTTAGGTATACCCGTTCCTGGGAAAATCGGTGGTGGACACACGGACAGACGGACAGACAGACGGACGGACAAGAAAGTGATCTTATAAGGGTTCCTTTTTTACCTTTTGAGGTACGGAACCCTAAAAACAAATTACTATACGAGAGAAATCACTACTAATAAACTAACGGTTAACTGCAATTTTGCTTACGTCACGGCTCTTCTACTGGGGGTTGTAGTATGATAATAAATAGTCTGTATCCTTTAACAATGAACAAA